AATCAATTTTATGTAACATAAAACATCATTATAGTAATGTTTAAAATTAGGCTTTTTGTTACTGTATTTGCATTTGTGAAAATAAAATTTAGCTAAGATAACTAACAAGTTTATTATAAAGTAAACATCTTCTTTTTTTTCCTTCGAAAGAAACAAAATACTAAACATTAAAAACGTATTTTTTCAGGTTTAACTATTCCTGATGCAGAGGGGGAGGAGCCACGTCAGGTCATTCAGGTAAAACATGGAGTCGAGTGAGGACACAAACTGGTGTATTACATTTAAACTTTTACATTTTTACAAAGGGTCAAGAGTCTTTACCCGAAAGAATTTAAAAAGATGTTTAAATGTGTTTTATGAACAGAGAAAATGAGTGCTGCTTTTGAGATTCTTTAAAAATTTACTTGATATACATTTTATTTGATATTATAAACTCATAATATTCTGATTGAACGCTCGTGATCAAGACAACATTTGATTTCGAGAACTTCATGTTAAAAGAGATCAAAACGAATCTCTGCCTTCTCCTTCTTCTCTAACCCTCAGCATGTCCTCTGGGGTCCTCTTCTTCTCCTGCCTGGCAGCTCCAGCTTCATCCTTCACCCTCCCTCCTCTGCACATGCTCAGACCATCTCAGCCCCTCTGAGATGGTCTGAACCCCCGATGGACTCATTTCCATCCTGCTCACTCCCAGTGAACATCTGAACATCAGATTTAAAAAAAGGGGGAAATATACGGAAATAAAATAACAATAATCTTATAAATGCGCTCATTTTATTAAAGGGAAATGGGTTTAAACGTGTAATTGTGTAATAAGAATGCCAGAATTCCGTTATTTTGCGCAGTGAGCATGCGCAGGTGCAGCAGCAGGTCACGTGTTCTTGTAGAGAAAAATAAAGAAATCTCTGCAGAGCTGAGGCTAACGGCGGAGTTACGGTCCTCACGGCGGAGACTCCGGGAGTGAGAAAGCAGCCAGCGAACCGAGAGAAGCATGAGCTAGGCCACAGAGACGCGGTGACGCTCACAGGTACCGTTTATTCACCTCACCTGTCCGAATGTGCGCAAAGCTAACGCGCATGCTAACGCTGAGCTAGCAGATTGGGCTCGCGATGGAGCTAACTCCGCATACTGATCAGCCTCCGCGGGGGGGGGATTGCACGGATAGATGCTGGTCACTGTGCACACAGCTGGAGGGGAGCGCGGTGAGGAGGATGAATTGTTAGCCCAGCATCCTAGAGAGACCGGGCCGGTTAGTCCGGAGCCAACCCCCCCGGACCCGGGCTGGTGGGGTCCAGTGGAGGCAGAGATGTTCAATAGTTCAGGTTTGACCAACAGAAAACTGGTTTAAGCCACCAGGTGAATCCAGACTGCACCGTCAGGGCTCAGGCCTCCATCACAGGAGCATCACCTCTGACACAGGCTGCGTTCACACTGCAGGCGAAAGCGCATCAAATCCGACTTTTCTGACCCTCTGCGGCTCATATCCGATCATGGTGTGACAGTGTGAACGGCACAAATCCGATCTGGGTCACTTTCGTATGTGGTGCTGAATCCGATACATATCCGATGTTTCAGAAAGCGACTGTTTGATGGTCATGTCGCATTAAATCCGTCTTTTACGTCACTGACACAAGACAGACGCCAATTATCAGCGCTGGAGAAGACGCCATGAACGCTTCCTGACCATCCAGTGTAGATGTTAGTGAAACTGTTGGGAAGACAACGTTGGAGAAACGTGAACATTTTATTTGTTCTGTATAATCTGCAGATTCTGACAGAAATCTGCAGCTATCCTTTGAAGCAGCGCTCCTTTAAAACAGCAATAAGGATCATTATTAGGACAAATGTAGATAAAATAACTTTATAACGTAAAGCAAAATTGGGAAACGTAAAGTCAGAAACAGTCAAACATACTGTTGCTCTGGGTCTAAACAGAGCGCGTTGTGTGTGACGTCTTCTTTTGCGCATGCAGCCGCTTTGAGCGTTCACACTAGAGCGCGTTTGCAGTTTGAACGAGCAGACAAAAAAATCAGATCTGAGCATCGAGACCTGCAGCGTGAACGTAGCCAAAGAAGCATCGTCAGGAAGGTGATGATCGGATTGTGTGTCTGTGTTTCAGGTGATCAGGTGTGTGTTGTATCAGCTGCAGGATGCCCATCCCTCCTCCACCTCCTCCTCCACCTGGGGGACCCCCGCCTCCCCCCACCTTCAGCCAGGTGAGCTTTCTCTCATTCATAACCTGTGAGCCTGAGAAGACCTGCAGCATGTCACAGTCTGGTTATTTAACTCCATCTCTCAAAAGGCCAATACCAGCCCCCCGAAGCTGAGCAAGGAGGAGGCCAAAGGTCGTGGCGCTCTGCTGTCGGACATCTGCAAAGGCGCCAAGCTGAAGAAGGTGGCGGTGGTAAACGACCGCAGCGCCCCGCTGCTCGACAGTAAGACTCAGACACCAAAGAGCCAAACAACCCCCACAGAGCACCCATACATTCGCTTATACCAGTACCTACACCAGCAGCAGAGCCTGCCCAAACAGCAGGGGGCGCCGTCTGAGGAGCAGAAGAAGACGGTCGGAGATAAGAGCCCCACGCTGTCGCTGGAGAGTAAGAACGCCATCTTCTCTGGTACTGGAGTCAGCGTGCAGGAGGCCGAGCGCAGCCTGAAACAGCCGCCGTGTTTCCTGTCCACCGAGGGAGGGGCAGACGGGGCCAGACCCGCTGAGGTCAGCTGACCTGATGGTCAGCAGATCAGCTGCAGGTTTACCCCCCGACGGGGTCCTGGGGGTGCTGAGCTCAGCTACGGAGCGCTTCCTTTAGATTCCTGCGTCTGAAATCAGCTGATCGCTCATAACCATGTGACCAGCAGACGCAGTCAGAGCTGACCTAAACTTGCCTGCACAGCGGCGCACGCCTCACACTCATC